TTAAAACTCTCCCGGTGGACAGTGGTATATTTAAAAAAAAAAAAAAAAAAAAAACAGTATGGATTTTAGTCTAAGTGTGCTCAAGCACCACTTTTTGTTTTTTTTGATGGGGTCTCGGTCTGTGACCCAGGCTGGAGTGCAGTGGCACGATCTCAGCTAACTATAACCACCACCTCCCAGGTTTAAGTGATTCTCCTGCCTCAGTTTCCCAAGTAGCCGGGATTACAGCACCCATCACCAAGCCTGGCTAATTCTTATATTTTTAGTAGAGATAGGGTCTCATCATGTTGGCCAGGCTGGTCTGGAACTTCTAACCTCAGGTGATCAACCTGCCTCTGCCTCCCAAAGTGCTGGGATTATTATGTTATTTTTTAAAAAAATAAGCAGAGGGGTGGCACAATCTAATGTCTGTTCTTAGAAGATGGATAGCTGTTATGTGGAGAATTATTTGTAGAAGTTGTGGGAAAAACAAGAGGCAAGAAGAGCAGGCTTCGCCGGGTGTGGTGGCTCACGCCTGTAATCCCAGCACTTCGGGAGGCCAAGGCGGGAGGATCACCAGGTCAAGAGATCGAGACCATCCTGGCCAACACAGTGAAACCCCGTCTCTACTAAAATATAAAAAAAAAAATTAGCTGGACGTGGTGGTGCGCGACTGTAGTCCTAGCTACTCGGGAGGCTGAGGCAGCAGAATTGCTTGAGCCCGGGAGGAGGAGGTTGCAGTGAGCCGAGATCGCGCCACTGCACTCCAGCCTGGCGCTTGGCAACAGAGCGAGACTCTGTCTCAAAAAAAAAAAAAAAAAAAAAAAGCAGTCTCAAGGTTATTGCAAAAGCCCTAGGCAGGAGCCGGTAGCGTGAATTACCACGGCAGCGGAGACGGAGAAAAGTGAATGGATTTAGGATCTATTTTGGCACTGGAATGGCAGGGCTTGCTGCTGGAATAGACGTGGGGAGGTAGGAAAGGGGAGTCACAGGTAATCCCTAGAGTTCCTCTACTGTAACTGGAGTAAATCACCCCCCCGAGGGTAGCTAAGGAACAGGATGGGACAGAGGGTTGTGTTTTTTTGCCCCAAAAGACCTATTTTGGACACATTATGAAAAGACGCTATTATCCCTTCTAGAGGTGATGCCCGTGAGCAACTGGATAATCAAAGCTGGAGCATTTCAGTCTCAAATACCTCCTTAGAGTGGTCCAAGGAGATCTCTGCAGCCACGGTTACATTTTCTTTATCCGAAGCGATGGCACAGCTCACTGACTGCCATTCTTCCCCGTGCTGGAAAAGCAAGGTCTAGTTAACATCATTCCTTTTTGTGAAAAGACTGAATGTTCAACACTTAGGACACAGAGCAGCGTAAGGTCCCAGAATACAGGGTGTCAGCAATTTCAGCACTCCCCTCGGCCCAAGCAAAGCTCCAGCGGGGGCAGATGAGGCCCAGGAGAAGCTAGGGAGGGCCTGGAAGCGGCCGGCACTGGCTGGCAGGGGAAACGCTGGAAAAAGTCTCCCGGCCTCTCTTGTCACCCGCTTCAGGCCCTCCGCTCTCCCCTGACCTCTGGGGACGGCCGCGCTTACCTGAACCGGACTGTACCCACAAGCGCGCTCCTGACTCGGGGTGCACACCGTGGAGGCCTGAAACGAGAACCATGGCCAAGACCCGCTGAACAAACGGACCCGCCATACTTTTCTGCCCGGGGGCCCCGGCGAGGTGCGCATGCGCAGGGCCGGGAGCTAGGCCCCCCCCCCCCGCCCACGGCCGGTGGGCGCGTCCACGTCAAGCGGAAGTCTCGCGGTGTTTGCGTTTGAACGTCTTGGCGGGCGCCGGCCATGGCGGCTTCGCTCCCCGGTACTGGGAACCGGCTTTTCCGCACTTATGGGGCTGCGGGCGGCAGGAGACAGCGGCGGCGGGGCCGGGCAGCCGCGCAGTGGTTCCCGCCGCAGGAGCGGAGGCGTTTCTTCGACAGCAGCGGCAGCAACGACGCCAGCTTCGGCTGCCCCTCGCAGTCCGACGATCCCGACGATCCCGACGACCCCGACTTCCTGGGCAGCCCGGTGGCGCGGCGGCGGAGGCGTCCCGGCGGCCAAGTCCCCAAGGACCCGCCCAGCCTGGCCGTGACCCCAAAGCGCCGGAAGCTGCGAGCTCGGCCCAGCCTGACCGTGACCCCGAGACTCCTGGGGCTGCGAGCTCGGCCCCCGCAGAAGTGCAGCACCCCCTGCGGCCCGCTCCGGCTTCCGCCCTTCCCCAGCCGCCTCCCCGGCCGCCTCAGCCCGGACCTCAGCGTGTGCGAACAGCCCAGGGACGGCGACGAGCTGGGCACCAGCGCCTCCCTGTTCAGCTCTCTCGCTTCGCCCCGCCCCCGGTCCCCAACGCCAAGGGACAGTGTCATCTCCATCGGCACCTCCACCTCTCTGGTTGCAGCGTCTGCTGTCCCGAGCGGCCTCCACCTCCCGGAAGTCTCCCTGGACCGAGCATCTCTCCCCTGCTCCCAGGAGGAAGCGACAGGAGGAGCCAGGATTGTCCGCCAAACCCGTGCCAGCCTCAGGTCAGCTCTCTTTGGCTTTATGAACTCAGGAACCCCTGAGGATTCTGAGTTTGGGGCAGATGGGAAGAATATGAGGGGGTCCTGCTGTAAAAGGAAACCGTTGGGAAATAGACCAGAGGGTTCCGGTGTACCAAGCACAGGCAGGAGGAGGGCCACAGGCCAGGATTCTTGTCCAGAGAGAGGGCTTCAGGAGGCCGTGCGGATAGAACATCAAGAGGCCAGGGTTTGCAACGGCTGCATTGTGCCCGGAGGACCCAACAGGCCTGACAGAACTCTACCAAGGCGGAAGAGCAAACGTCAGAAGGCAGTGGAAACCTCTCTTCTCCATTCCCACCATTTTAAAAAGGGCCAAAAGATGAGAAATGATTCGTTTCCTACCCAGGACCTGACTGATTTACAGAATGCCTGCTCTTGGACCAAAACCAGGGCCTCCTTCAGTTTCCACAAGAAGAAAATTGTGACTGATGTGTCGGAGGTCCGCAGCAGCTACACCACTACCACTCCTGTCTCTGGATCCCTCCTATCCGAATATTCACACCGTCCTGCCACGAGCAGAACCAGGAGTGCTCTGTCCTCCTGGCGCTCCTCTTCTATGTATTTGCTAAGCCCCTTAAACACTCCTTCAAACAAAAAGGCATCTGATGCTGAGAAGGTTTATGGGGAATGCAGTCAGAAGGGTCCCATCCCCTTTAGCCATTGCCTTCCCACAGAAAAACTGGAACACTGTGAGAAGATTGGGGAAGGGGTGTTTGGCGAAGTGTTTCAGACAATTGCCGATCACACGCCTGTCGCCGTAAAAATCATTGCTATTGAAGGACCAGATTTAGTCAATGGATCCCAGCAGAAAACCTTTGAGGAAATCCTGCCAGAGATCATCATCTCCAAAGAGTTGAGCCTCTTGTCTGGTGACGCATGCAACCGCACGGAAGGCTTTATTGGGCTGAACTCAGTGCACTGTGTGCAGGGATCTTACCCTCCTTTGCTCCTCAAAGCCTGGGATGACTATCATTCAACCAAAGGGTCTGCAAATGACCGGCCTGATTTTTTTAAAGAAGACCAGCTCTTCATTGTGCTGGAATTTGAGTTTGGAGGGATTGACTTAGAGCAAATGAGAAGGAAGTTGTCATCCTTGGCTACTGCGAAGAGCATCCTACACCAGCTCACAGCCTCCCTCGCTGTGGCAGAGGCATCACTGCACTTTGAGCATCGAGACTTACATTGGGGGAATGTGCTTTTGAAGAAAACCAGCCTCAAAGAACTCTCGTACACCCTCAATGGCAAGACAAGCACCATCCCCACCCGCGGGCTGCAAGTCAGCATCATCGACTACACCCTGTCGCGCTTGGAACGGGATGGGATTGTGGTTTTCTGTGACGTTTCCATGGATGAGGACCTGTTTACAGGTGAAGGTGACTACCAGTTTGAGATCTACAGGCTCATGAAGAAGGACAACAACAACTGCTGGGGTGAATATCACCCTTACAGTAATGTGCTCTGGCTGCATTACCTTACAGACAAGCTTCTGAAACAAACGACCTTCAAGAGTAAACCTAACACTCCTGCCATGAAGGAAGTCAAGAAAAAGATCCAGGATTTCCATAGCACAATGCTGAACTTCCGCTCTGCCACTGACTTGCTCTGCCAGCACAGTTTATTTCAGTAAACTCAGTGTGTCTTACTGCCCCCAAGTGGGAGGAGGCTGGTCTTGAAGCCTCTGGTGCTGTTTCAGCCTGCATCCCCAGAGCAGGGTGGAATCCCATTCTCACAAGATTCCAGTCACCTTTTCAAACAAGAATTTTGTTTCCAAATAGAAACTGACCTATTTGTAGAATTGTTTAAATTTGCTGATGACACATGGCCTTGAAAAAGTAAACTAGCTAGGTGCAGTGGCATGCGCCTGTAGTCCCAGCTACTTGGGAGGCTGAAGCAGGAGGATCACGTGAGCCCAGGAGTTCAAATCTAGCCTGGTCAACAGAGCGAGACCCCTGTCTCTGTTTTAAAAAATAAATAAAATACATATGAAAACAAATGTTTATAAGTAGCCCTCTTTCTAATTGTCAGCAGAGTCCATTCTGTAAATTCCATTTTTTGAGCCTTGACACTTTATGTAGTCTGAGCAAAAAAAAAACCCAGGCTTCAGCTGTCATAGTGAGCAGAACCTGCTGCTTCAGGTAGCAAGGCTCACTTTGGAAACCAGGCTACAGATGAAACAACTGAAAACAAAGAGGCTGAGGCAAAGCAGAGGCCAAAAAAGAGACTCTGGGAGAAGAAGGGAAGATAGGATAGTAAGCAACTTAAAGCAGGCAGCGTAAGAAGTGTTGCATGTCATATGAGTCCCGCAGAGAAGCAGAATTTATCAGTTTTCAAAGGGAAAATGTCTCTGCCTACTGACAAGGTTTTAACTTTTGCTTATTTTTCATCAAAAGGAAGACAACTGACAGGTTGCTTTAAGAGCTGAGTGATAGATACTCCTGAACAGGACTTTGGTAATTCACTCCTCATCTTTTCCCAGGGTGAAGCTGTCTTTATCCCTTTCATAAAACTCTGGTTTGTATACTTGACAGCCTACAGTCACTCTGAGAGTAGATGTGATTGTGATAAAGAACTGCCTTTAAATACCTGAGTCTTCGTCAGGTTCTTCACTGTTACAATCTGGAGACCTCGAAATTTGGTTGGGACACAAATTTGCAACTGGTATTCTGCTCCAAAGAGGTTTTCCCCATGTATCTGCAAATTAAAATCAGAGTAGGAAGTCGAAGCTGGTGTTGCTTGGCCACCTATAGCTTTGCAATAATAACTACTTACATGGAAGAGGAATTCTTTGTGGTCAGAAAGCCCCGGGCCTGTGTTCACATACATTACTGATGGTCTGCAATTGAGAGGACATGTGTCAGGCCTTGAGGACCCTCCCTCCCATTTTTGGAGACAGGGTCTCACTCTCGCCCAGGCTAGAGCGCAGTGACACAATCATGGTTCAGTGTAGCCTCAACCTCCAGGGCTCCAGCCATCCTCCACCTCAGCCTCCCAAAGTGCTGGGATTACAGGCATGAGCCACCACACCCATCCACC